TTCGCTAAGAAATGTTTTGCACTTAGAAGATGAATTGAGCAACAGACACCTTCAGAATTTCGAAGTGCCAGGTACTGACTGTAGTTTCCAATGGGCACCCATGTACTTTATATGCATCCCTCAGGAGTACGGTCACTAACGTGGGTTCAGTCTTTGCGAGCCGCAAGACCTCGTTCACCGTAGAATCGCATGACTAACGTCGCTGCACACGCGCGTTTGGACGGCCAAGGCGCCGAGCGCAGCGCAAGTGCACAATACTCCTCCGAAACAAGTCGCTAAAATTTATTGCCTGCGGCAACACCAGAAACGCAGTACAGTGCTCTTTGCAAAAGACGGTGGGAAAGCAAAAGCGGCTTATCCACACCACGGCCGAAAGTAGAACACACATGTGCCGTGAACACGTCTCCATGGGCAAAAAGTATCACGGTGACACGTCGCCGAAGAAAATGGTTCAACGCGACTATGCTGCTTGCTCTGACGGTCAGTGACCACAGCGCCCGATCTCTCATGCGAAGGTACGCTCCGCTAGCGTTTGCCTCGGTAGGTACGGCTTGGCATAGTGATCCCACGCACCGAAATACCGCAACGCTCTTCGGCCTATCGTTCGGGACAGCAGCGCAAAGTAAGCGTTTGGCACGGGTGCAAGTCACCGTTGGTCAAGGCGAGAAGCTCCAAGAACAAAGGGGCGGACTGACGGGAAAGAAAAGACGTGCTCATCCTTATCTGTCCAGAGGGTATATCCCTTGTCCTGCCGGGTGAGTGCACGAAACATCTCGCGAGACTCGAGCGCGAAGCCACAGTTGAGATCCTCTGCCGAGTGGCAGCGGTGAACGACCCTCCCGCTCTATGTTTCCAGGACATGTAGATGACAGAAATAGGAGAAAAAGCCCGCGCAAAGGTGATAGCCTGATTGCCGACAAGATTAAACTGATGAATAACTAGAGCGCGCTTACGATACGGCTAATGAAAAATACTGGCGCAATAGAGCCACACCAGAAACGCTCCGAAGTAGCGAGCTTTCTTCAATCACTCAAAGAGGTGAGCAACCGACCATTGTTCACCAGCAGCTAGTTACGCCAGGCAAGCTCAAAATCAATTTGGCGGACGATGGTGTGCATACATCATTGTAATACCTAAATACACTGTGCTTCTTGCTTGGGACGACTGCACAGAGTGAGATCACTAAAGTCTGCTCCATCAAAAGGCCTGTTCAAGCGCTGCACTATACAGCATTGTCACGTATTCGTGACAGTGAAATATAGTAGTGAGCATGCGCCTGACGTTGGGTCCGACGGCAGTGACAACGCGCCTTTATTGTCCTGACTCGCAGCGACAGTGAGTCATCACTGTCCCGTGGTGCCGGAAGCCTTGTGGAAAACACCTATATAATGCAGCGGCCGAATGACACATATAAGCAGGGAAGAGTGATCGTTATCTGACACCACGAGTTAACCACCACAAATAACGACGAACTGCTCACCTCAACATGGTTCTTGACAGCCACACAGTCTTTGGTTTGGTAGGCACCCAAACTGACTACTCAGGTATGAGTTAATCTATTGTTACTTATGGGAAGAAAGTTTTTACGTGGAGCGTTGCCTTATTCAATTGGATGGAGGATAATCAACTATCATTCATTGGCGTCTATTATGGTCTTTTGAACCAAATCAAGAAGATGCAAAAGTACTGCCTCCTAAGGACAAAACGCAAAACTCTGAACGGGTTGTGCGCTGCAAAGTACAGCATTTTAAATAGCGTGTGACTCTTTTCGAAGTGTTCCGTCTTGCCACGAATACGACTATAAAGACTCACAGTGAATTTCTTTGGGTAGAGACGGTAGGCTTTAGCAAAGTGTCATGATCCTCTTACGAAGAGTAAAATCACTTTTATTCGAAGCATCACATCATCGCCTCTGAGAGCAGTCAAATGGTTCTGGCCGGCAACACTCCACGTGGGTCAGGTCACACAATTCGATGTATAACGTGAATCTATCACTATTTTTGGTACTTATTTAACCCAGGCTCCTCTTTTTCGTGGCTATATATTTGGAAATGGTGAAGAATTCATTGTAAGCAAATGCAATAATACTTACTGTTGCGCCGCGTGACGGAAAGTAATAATAACTCAATTTTAGCATTTATTTAATAAAACTCCTCAAAAGAGTACACATTCTTCTACTGAATAATATAAAAATCATAAAAAATGCTCTGTAATTTCCGATGAACCAGTTGAGGTATTCACGCTTTATGTTCTAGTATGAGCATAGCTAACCAATACGTGTGGTTATCATGCTCATTGCGTGATGTTACGCAAAATAAACTGCAGATATTTACATCATGTTCCAATGTACTACTAATGAATAAATGAAGAATTGGTGATGGATGAAGTCATCGGACCGGAGACTTCATTGTAGTCACTCTTCATCAGTGTGAGCACCGCTGAAGAGTGATACCTGAAAATTACGTGATAGTGTGATGAAAAAACATACTCGTAATAAGAATTTGCAAAAGCTACAGAATACGTTATTTACAAAGACATGATTAGGGCTCAAAACAAATAAACAAACCGCGTCTCTCATAATCATATGGTGGTTTTGGGATGTTAAACCCCACAAATCAAACAAATAAATAAGTACAAAAAAGCATGTTAAAACTATGTTTGTTTCCGCTATCGTGTAAAAGAGGGCTTGCAAACAGTAACTTTTGTAATGTTTCCCATGGCGACAGACTTGCAGCACAAATTCATGTGAGCCACTTTGAAACAACAACCGCAATTGGTTTAGGCTCCTTCGGGTGGATGCCACTCTGCTCCTTTTCTATGTTATTTTGCCCGACGAAACAAAATGTCTAGGACTGACTGTCTTGTTGACAGGGCGAACACTGCTCTCGATCTTTCCACCACGAGCAGTGAGACAACAGAAACCAGCGACACCTTCGTTTTCACGAGGACAATTGTAAAGTGAAGAGGTGCGAGAATCAACCTTGTGTTGTTGGAATAACCGACGCATATACCCTGATTATTTGTATTTAAAACCACCGTTTGTTCAACTAACTGTTACCGTTGTTCAACACACCTGAGACAAGTGTTTCATTTTAAATAACTATGCAAAAAAGCGAATTTTCCCTTGAGGGAACGCGCAAGCTCATTTCGCGAGAGGTTATGGTGATGCACTAATGAAAGCACTTCTTTTCAGAGAAATCGCTTCGAAATTTCCTTTCATAACATGCCTGGCGTTGCGCCGGCATATTCTGATACCGAGCTGCAACTTCCGGCCATCAGGGGCACGCCGTGACGGGTACTGACCACGCGATTTGGAACATAAGCCACTCTTAAATACCCAGATAAGCATATGTGAGTGCGGGAGAGACACGGAGCGCGCGCGAATGCTATGCGTCAAGGTTGGATATGTCCTATGCTAGACTAGTCGTTGCAGTCTCGTACAATCCCTCAATTTCGTTGTAACGCAAAGCATCAACAGAGATGTATGCTTCGTCGGGAAAGTTGGTCACACATTGTGAAAGGGGATCAAAAGAATCGACTGACAAGAAAAAAAAGATGCCGGTGAATCTCGTCGCTCAGCTATCTCAAGAAAATGCCTATGCGTCCGTGTAACTTCTGTTTCTCGTGAATCGAGCTAGAAAAGCTCGCACTATTTATTATAAATAACTGTAATAGCTTCATGGCCCAAAACAACGACATGATTATGGAGGACGCTCAAGTAGAGGGTTAAGGAATTTTCGACCACCTGGTGTTCTCCAACCTTTGTAAGTGAACGGGTATCCTGTGTTTCGCCTCGATGAAAAATGTGGCCGCCGCCTCGATGGAAAACGTGCACCTAAAGCTAAGTAGACGGCCGGAAAACATTTTCGCCTCTATCGAAAATGCAGCCGCCATGATCGGAATTTGATCCCGCCCCATTCGGGTCAGCAGTCGAGTGCCATAACCTCTAGACTACCCTGGCAGGTAAAAATTTCTTTAGTTTGAATAGTTCAGATATTTCTAAAGTCTGCTTAAGCTCACCCTAGGTTGCCTCTGTCAGCAGTAATTGTTTTAATAAAGTGATATTTGCGGCTCTTGCAAGTGTTAAAACAGGCCGAGATGAAAAATCTTGTCAAACTACGACGAGACATCGGTGTAGTTTACTGGAGCTTAAGTATTCTGCATCTTTCCATGACACGCAACCACTCTGCTCACATTTTTTGACTAATTCGTTTATCTGTACGTGGATATGAACTGCTTGTTCAGTAAAAAAATTGATTTGATTTCAATCTCGGGTCTGGTATTTCTTCTAAGCAAAACGCTTACGTTCACGCCCCTGCATGAATGAAGCAATGATTCGCCTCTTCTAGGTGTACGTTTCGATGCGAATATAACGTTTTAGGAGTTTTATTTCTAACAGAGTTTGAACATTAACAGCGAAAAAGTTTGGACTGAGGAGCATTAAAGCAGCCGTTTTGTGATACACCAACCAATTGTTGCCAGACAGAAACCTTTTTTTTTTGTTTCTGTAAAACAGCGTTGCGAAGTGCCTTCAATAAGGCTGACTGAAGGAGAGCAATCCATGTCCAAACCGCGATAAGGGACTCAGTTTTGTTGCGGTTCCGTGTTATCGCTGTAGCCTACACAAGCGAGACATGAAAGCTGAGTCTGAAGTTTAGTTCCGCCGTGAGGGCGTCGCGAACCCAAATAACTGCTGTTTGTGTTTCTTCTCGCCTCCGGGCTTCGTTCTTTCGCCTTCATTGTCTGTCGATCCACTCTCCCTCGTGTTCACGAACGCTCCTCGCGTCAAATTCCGTCCTTCGCTTCACAAAGCTAAGCTCTGCGCCGTTGTTCGACTGAAAATGACGATTCGCTTCTCAAAAATCACTGCAGACTATCGCTGATATGCAGTGGCTTGCTCTGCCTAGAGACGGCGCTCCCATCGACTTTCTCAAGTGAAGGTGAAGCATTGTGTAAAGGGGCGTTCCATAATACTGGTGTATATTCTAGAATCTTTGCAAGCGCTAGCTCACGATGAAAGCCCGCATACAAGACGGAGTTGTGTACTCTCCTTTTCCCAGCACGGATATTCCTTCTTGTTCAGCCTACACGGTCATCGAGGAAGCTCTATCCAGAAATCCGGAACGGGTGGCATTTGTGAGTTATTTCATTGTATCTTTTCACGCTGCATTGCAAGGCCTGGTGAACGGTAGCTTTCAATACTTCACGCTGTGCATTTTCGAGAACATCGGACCGAAGTCTCGCCACAGTCTTGAAGAAAGATGTTGATGTGTAGCAGTGCTGCGTACGGACGGAATCGCACTTGTCTAGAGCCGGGGAGCGCGTGCCTGTGGGCGCTGTTTTTCCCGACCGCTGCTTTCTCACGTTAGCTACACGCTTCCGTTCGCACTTCAGTTAAAGGACTTATTACTCAGCATAATTATGTTAGACATAATATACGGCAGCATTCTTTGGAAAATTTAGCAGAAAACGGCAGCTGAAACGGCCCAGCTGGCCGCTTCAGACAAGTGGGATTCCATACGTCAATCGCTAAGCAGTCAATTTATTTTCTGTACATGAATGTCACAATACTTTGTAGTAGAGTACAATATAAAACTAACACGCGTTGTGTTGATTGCCAGAGTTATACATTGCTTGCGTGGGCGGGAGTTTTGGTTCCGGCTTTGTCGCAGCGAAAAAGAACATGTGGTGACTGCAGGTGTTATTCTAGCTCCTCATTTTTCTTCTATCTGTTTGAATTCTCACAAGAAGTATTTTGTATATCCAATATGGCCCCAATGACATGTTGTCCATGACATCGGGGCCTTTATTAAGCCATTCTCATGGCTTCTAGCTTATAGTTTTGCTTGGTGTAGGGAAGGTCGCGATGAATGAGGTCTCTGGATTCGGCCAAATTTTAGACTGACTGAGGACATATCCCAGGGAGAGCAGCTTTCGTACGTGAAATGACGCTTTCTTGTTTTCAGAGTGAGACCCGTAGATTTATGGCCTGTAACGTCATCTCAAGATGCTTTACGTATACGTAGTCATCATTTTCCAAAAAAATGACGCCTTGAGTAGACCAAACAAAAATGGTAGTTCAGGCCTACCTGTACGGCGTCGATTAGTGCGTTGTACTGATGCAGTGCGTACGAAAATCGCAGGCGCTGAACAATTAGCGAATGACATAACCTTGAACTCAAACAGGACATCTAATGTCACCATCGCGGTTTTTTCTCAACCTGTCTGTATGAATTTCAGTTTGCCAGTAGCCTGTCATGAAGTCAATTGGCGAGAAATACCTTGAGTTAGGTAGCTGATCCGCAGTGTCGCTTGTCTGTAGAAAAAAAGATACGAGTCATCCGTGATTACGTTGATACGGTGGTGTTAGATGCAGAATCACAAGAATGAATTCTTCTAGTTGACGCTTGGGGCAAGTTGGAAGTGGTTATGTATTTTTAAAATGGGTAGCGCAAAAAAGGAGGGCACAACAAGTATCACGCAATGCCTTCTCACAAGTAACTTTATTGAAAAGAGCTTCTCACAAGTAACTTCTCACAAGTAACTTTATTGAAAATGTAAACCAGGAACAAGTGTCACACGCTCGTACATGATTGATAGCCAAAAAAAAAACAGAAAGACGTGTTCCAACAATGATCAGAAACAGCTCGAAAAAAAGTGCTAACATGCGCGCAACGTACTAAGGGCTCAAATGATTGAACAAGAAAAATTTTGTCATTCATTGCTACTCAGAGCATGTTTACGCATTGATTGTCTTTTTGTTAAAGGAGCTTTGCAACACTTTTTGAGCGTGCTCAGAAAACGCTGCCGATAGGTAGTAGAGGCTCCCGAAAAAGCGCGAGCCGAATACTATAGCGGATCACGCAGCCTGGAATCCACAATAACTGATCAGAGTCAGCTAAACATAGCTTTCTCTTCTCTGGACAAATCACGGCATCAAGCCCAGTGAGCACATCTATCAGCCATTGGCTGATTTGAATATGGAACGCTCGATCGTTACAGAGATCGCCGCGGGAGGCCACTACTTGTCCACGCGCGTGCGCGATCATACTGAAAAAGCCACGCATTAAAAAAAAAACAGAAGAAAGTGTTCAAAGCCAAGAGGCGCTAGTAACGTGGTTTTTTTGCCCTTGCCACCCCTTCTTACTTAGCTTCCAGTTCTTTCGTCGTGACGAGAAAAGAGAGAATGTAACTGCAGCATGCGACAAATCTTTGTAACTCCACTCGCACTGGATGGATTCTTAAAATTTTTGTGGCGTTGAATTGGTAAGGCAATGAGCTCTTCCAGTGAATTTATTTCGTGGTTGCTCGAAAAAGTGTTTCAGGGCCCCTTATAGTGATGAGACTAAACAATGTCTCTTGTAGTCTGATTTTCATGCCTGAAGAAACAAATGTCACAAAATTTAGGGGTACGTCTGCGTTATGCACAGTGTCGGGCGACATGTGAGTACGCATTGCCTTATAGCGAACGCTGGTGTTCTGACCTTACGTTTAAACAACGGCCTTTTTTTCAATGTACACATCAACACAGGAAAAACTAAACCTGTATACTAAAGTTATGCCTTGTACAAACGATGGCGTATGCTGTGCAGCCTTGTTGTTTTTTTGTCGCACGTGATGTTTTTTCACCAGCTTGTTTTCAACTCTACGTCAAGTGCTATGTTGTTTTCTCTGCTCCTAAAAATGAATAGCATTGGTTGTATAGCTAAAGAGAGGCTGGCAAAAAAAAAGATGACCTAAAAAACCTTCACTGTAAAACACACTTCACCGTTTGTACCGTGAACAAAGTGACTTGTACACCGAATTGGGCTTCTTTGTGGTCATGTACACATTGGCAAAACTCGCCATAGACTGAAAGCAAGATTAAAGGGGGACAACCATTAAGAAAATTTGCAAGCTTCGGAACTGGCTGGACAAGCACCCTCTGAAGAGACTGAAGGGGTCTCAAATAGTAGGGCAGTTTTCATTGTTGAAATTGTAAACTAAGTGTACCTGGACAGTCTGCTTATTTGTACAATTTTACCCAGCTAGACAGATCTGTGAATATGTTTACCTTTAATGCAAATTTATATATATGCCGCTACTTGTACATAAGTCTGGTACATCTTCGGTTTTAAGTAGTTTGGATTTATGCCAGATACCCATCCTGCCGGCAGTTAAGACGCTGAAGGCATACGACGTTGTCCTTCATGCCTATTTTGACCGTATTTTTAGTGACTATGAACGAACGCCTCCTGCAATGAATAATATGGGCCTGAAATTTGATTTCACGCAGATTGAAGGTTCAATCAAAACAACTAAAGCGGAGTTATTAGCGCTCATGAAGCGCTTTGCCGTGGGTTTCCAACAACAAGGCATCGGTCCAGGGGATCGCGTGTGCGCCCACCTGAGGAACAGCCTGGAGAACCTTGCGGCAATGTACGGCTGCATCTTCACTGGAGCAACACTGGTGCTGGCGAAGACTTCCCTCACCGAAAGTGCGTTGCCAATGAGCGGCTTCTAATACCCTCTTAGAAGTAAAGGAAGAAGAGGGGTTTGAGGTGGCTCCTTTTGTAAAAGTAGCTAATTTGCCACACCCATTTCTCCGTTTTCGGAACTGTGGAGGGAGGCATAATCACTCCCTCTTCCCTCGATTATTCCTCAAGGGAGCAACACTTGATTGTTGCACAATAGTAAAATGGGATCTTGGTTGTCTTAGCTAGAATATTTTCAGCTTGTGCAGGCATGTGAATAGATCTACAATCGGCACGCATGCGTTCAGAAGTAAAGTTCAGAAAATTGACAGCAAACACACGGGATTTGAGTTCATGGCCACTGAGTCGGCATGCGTGCACCACACCGCCTTACGCCGCCGCTTGGAAAGAAACTCGTATAAGTAGGCACTGGTGGGCAGTTTACACATGGCGTGAGTACTCCTGCAGTTACTAAAAAAAGGGGGGGGGGCGCTCTCCTCCCTTGAAGGGGAAAGCTCCCTTCTTGGCCTGCCTTGCGCAAGCATTTGTAAACACTTTTGCTTGGGGGGGGGGGGGAGTAGCAAAGCGCTCTTTTTGGTGCACGAAACTGGCCTAATTTGAGTGTAGGTGCACCAAGTTTTGTGCAACTCTCGATAAAAAAAATCTGGGGAGGTGTTTATGCAGCCAATAGAATGACTACAAGGACCCAGCGGCATCAGTTCGATGAAGGTGATTACTTGCGTCGCTTAAGGAACAATGAACAGCATACCGTAGGTGCGGGAAGAGGCAGCTCGCTAACGTAGACAAGCAACAGGAAGTAAGAAAAAGAAGTATTTCTGATGGACATCTGACCCGCGCAAGCGGAAAACCTGTCGGTGATATGCCAGCTAGTGCCTGGCATATTTCAACTGAACAGCTAGTTTTTTTCGCTGCGGTGGTGCCTGCTTGGGGATAAAAAAAATACAAAAAGTAACTAGTGTAGGTTGCACTTGAGGCGCACTGGTAAAGAGGCAGTGGAGCTAATTTTGAGCTCAGCACATAGTGATGCAAATCCTGAACTAATTGCATAGCTGATTGATGGTGGCTTTATTTGTTTCTTTTTTCTCCGTCTTTCTACTTTTCTCTCTTCCTTGTCACTTTCTATTTATTCCATTCTCTATCTCCTTTTCTTTCTATTTCTTTCTCTCTAGTATTGATTTATTCTTGCAATTTCAAACTTTCTTTATTTATTTTTGATTTTCTCTCTTTCTCTTATTGAATTTTTTTTCTTCGTTTCTCTCTCTCACTCTTTACAACAGTCTCTTTGGAACACATTCTATAGCGTTCATCAATTGGGTATACGCTTTAGGCTCGAGGAATATTATCACTCTCATCACAATTACTTCAATGTTCTATGTCTTTTTGACCATGTGTAATGCATTAGGCATACTTCTGTATATATATATATATATATATATATATATATATATATATATATATATATATATATATATATGGGATATGGCACAACGGGAGCGTTGTCAACAAGGATAAATATATTTATTTCCCAACAGTTTCGGGAGGGGTCCTCCCTTCATTCCCCTGATGAAGGGAGGACACCTCCCGAAACTGTTTGGAAATAAATATATTTATCCTTGTTGACAACGCTCCCGTTCTGCCATATCCCATACCTTCACGAAGACTAACTGGCCAATTGAATTATTACTCCCACTATATATATATATATATATATATATATATTAGCGCATCACACAAAAAACATCGTTGTTGAATTTTCTGACTTCGTTGCTCCCTTTCTCTAGCCAAGTATGCGCTCATTCCAGAGCCCAGCGGCGCTGTCATCCTTCAATTCGGTCATGACTGCGACATAGCACTTCTACCTGCCCAAATCGTCTCTAGTTGGCGGCACTGAGCCCGCCGCGGTGGTCTTTCTTGCCTACGCTGCGGGTTGTTTTGCCGAGATACAGAACTTTGTGGGGACCGACAATGGCTTTGGTGGGGTGTCCGCCGCAAGTCTTCAATGCACAGTGACTTTCCTTGGCTCGCTGCCAAACATTCTGGGGGGCGACAATGACAGTATGGCAGTGGTCGACCTCGGCCTCGCGGCGACGTTCTTTGGAAGTCGGGGAATGAGAGCTTCAGTGGGCGCCACTGGATATGTCGAGACGGTCGTCACACGCCTAGCAGCAGAATACGCTGTCGCTGTATCGGGCTTTAGGCGTAAGCCGTGCTTGCAGATGTTAACGTGCTGGGCACGCACGTACTTGCCCAACGAAGCATGCTTGTGAGTTCGTACAGGCTGCGAGACGCGGCCTCCATGGTATGACGCCGAGGCCTCTATGCTGCAGTCTGACTCTCCAATTCCATCAAAAAGGAAAGACGCTCTCTGGTGACTCCATATCACGTTCTCATGAATTAACGCCTCTGGAGTCGAACCCCACGAGGCAGACGCCAGCGTTGCACGCAGGCACCATCTTCCCACTTCCTGCGAGTTGGTCGCCGTCTGACCGATCAGTGTCGTGTTTCCCGCTGACGCATGCTACCTCCAGAAGTGTCATACGGCACTGTGGCGGTGATCGGGTGCGCGGCCCATCATCGTCATCAGCGGCGAATGCCAGGCTGGCAGATCACGACACCACAGGGAAGTGTTGGATAGATTTGTTTTCGGCAGCCATGAACTTGCGTGCAGTAGGAGAACACACGGCCAATGACTGCCGTGGAGTCGGAAGATGTGTCTCCGGCTGGTGAATAAGGATGTCCTTATTGCTGAACATCTGTGGTTGGGATGCTTCAACATTATGTTTGGAGTAGTAAATGTTCGGGGTCTGAGCGCAGCGATTTACTACACCGCCATCTATGATAAGCTGAAGCTCACCAGACAAGGGTTGTTTGCACCCAAAACCATGTCCGCGTGCAATTTCTCGAGGATGGGAACGGTGGCAAAGAACTTGCCCCCGGTGTCGGTTCACGGCTGCAAATCTAGTGCGCCAAAAGACAAAGCACTTAAACTGACGCCTCTCAAGGGTGCCTCGGACCAAAATGGGAGGATAACGGGGGCATGGCGTCGGTGTAGCGCAGTATGGGCAGCTCCAGATTGTACAACATCCGTAAGGTCCCCGATACCATCGACGTGGCCTTGTACTGTAGGAAGTGGTCGCGTCGGGGATATAGTAATTCAATGTGGTATATGGAATCACGTCGCCGATACTGTCATTGAAACTCGGCCGGAGCTGCTCTTTCTGGACGCTGTAAAAGCAAGATGAGTTCAGGGTTCATGTGAGCGATGGATTCCGAACGTTCTCTCAGCAAGCTGTACTGTTCAGCTGTAGCCTCGAGGATGAGCCCCTCCCCCCGCAGGGGCGCCTGCGCAAGTAGGCGTTTGGTGTGTAGCGACACCACGGACCCGAGCTAACGGGGGAGTTTTGACTCCCTCCCACTCCTAGCCGTGCGTGGCTTTGCCGTGTCCGGGGAAAATGGGATCCTGGTGGTTGAGCCGACGCTGGGTGATTGGACCTTTAAGGCCCCCCGGCAGAGGCAACACACCCCTTTGTCGCCGGCTTCACGTAGACGGCACCCCTAGGCTGACCCACCCAGGGGAAATCGGCAGTCGCCTTTTCCTATCTCTCTCTCCCTACATCTTTGTCTTTATCTCTCACTTTTTATCTGCCCTGTCTTCTCCTCTCTTCTGTTTACTTCCAAACTTCCTGGCGGCTAGGGTTAATCCTGTGCAAATAGCCTACCTTGGTCTAGGCGCATTGGGTTATAGTAGCGTTGTACGGCTGGCGTCTGCAGGTTTTAGCACCCGCAAACTTGTAGCGTCCCCTCGTTGGGCTCCGTGGTGGGTGGCCGCCAACGCTTCTGAAGAAAATTAAACTGGCATGCGTAGAGTATTTCCATTATTAAGTGATCGTACCGCCTTAAAGCGCGTACGCACCGAAGACTTAGGATTTTTCAACCGATCAACTGAAAAGTTCCCCCATTTTCTTGTTATACATAGTGAGATAAGCAGCAAGCAAGCCAGAACTGTATCCCCCTTTGTAGTAGCCAGATGTCTCACAGAAACTCTAGGAGCCGGGTACAAAGTTACCAAAATGGCCAGCGGAGACCTCCTCCTTGAAGTTCGAGAAAAAAAACAGTTTGAAAAGCTACAGAATCTTTCACTTTTGGTGACACTCCCATCACTGTAACGCCACACAGATCCATGAAAACAACCCGTGGAGTAGTATCTGATGCTGATTTGCTCGGCTTGACTGAAGAGGAACTTCTGGAGGGGTGAAGAGTCAGAATGTGACCAATGTACAAAGGATCACTTTTAGAAGAGACAACAAGGTAACACCAACAAAACACCTAATACTCACGTTCGCTTCCAGTAATCTGCCAGAAAGTATTCAAACAGGGTACACTAAGACGTCGATCAGACCATACATACCTAACCCACGTCGTTGTTTTAAATGCCAGAAGTATGGCCACGGCTCACAAAGCTGTCGTGGTCACCAAACTTGTGCACGATGTGGAGTGTCAGGCCACAATTCTGACAATTGCGAAGAACCATCACACTGTGTGAACTGTGGCGGAAATCCTGCCGCATACTCACGGTCTTGCTCATTTTGGAAAAGAGAAAGGGAAATTATCACATTGAAAATTAAAGAAAATATCACATTCAAGGAAGCAAGACGAAGAGTGTCGCCATTTTATGGCGCTACATATGCTGATGCGGCGCGTCAGGGGGCAACGCCGCACCAGCCCTCGTCACTCCTTCGGCCAGCGCAGAGCGAGCCGACGGCTGTGGCACCTGCCCCCAAGGCGGCAGTAGTTCAGTCTACTTCGCCTCCTAGCGAATTGAGGCCGGAGACTCCAGGGTCCTCTGGTCTCAAGGCCTCCCCTCACCAGGCGAGGCCTAAAATCCGAACCACCAGCTCGCATGTGCGGGCACCCAGTGCCTCTGAAGAGGCAATGGATACAACGGTACCCTTGGTACCAAAAGAGCGGCGCGCCTCCTTGGAGCGCGCCAAGAAAAATAAAAAAACCAATAACGGGGCCGGACAACCGTCCTGCCACCT